CTAAAAGGCCCTGGCAGCAGCATGCCATAAGGCAGCTCACCACATCTTGTTTGGCTGTGACACCCCAGAACCAACAGTGATTTTTAAAAATCAAGCAATACATGAGGGTTTGACTAAGCTATCCTCAGAATGGTAAATTTCATCCTAGCAACGGAAGTCATACCATTGACTCAAAACAGTACTCCCCAGCATACAGTATGTTTACGATTCAAAAAGTGAAGTTAAGTTTCGACTAAATTGTGGTTAGCTCCATCCGAAGTAAAAATGAAGCTAAAATTATTTTTCCATTTTTGAAGGGGGAGGTTTCAAACACATAAAAGTTGAAAGAATCGTACAATAAAAATCTACATACCTTCCACCCAGATTAAACAATTGCTGACATATTATCATATTTGTGCATTCTTTCGCTCTCCAAGCTCTGTTAGGTAGACAAATGTGAGAGAGAGAGAGAGAGAGAGAGAGAGAGAGAGAGAGAATTTATGTTTAGATTTTGCTGTCATTTGAAAATAAGCTGTAGACATTATTGTGAATGACAGGTCATCCCTAAATATTCCAGTGTGAATCTTCTTCTCCTTCTCCTTCTCCTTCTTCTTCCTTTTTTGAGACAGAGTTTTGTTCTTGTTGCTCAGGCTGGAGTGCAACCTCCGCCTCCCAGTTTCAAGCGATTCCCCTGCCTCAGCCTCCCGAATACCTGGGATCACAGGCATGTGCCACCACATTCAGCTTTTATATTTTTAGTAGAGGCAGGGTTTCTCCATGTTGGTCACGCTGGTCTCGAATTCCTTACCTCAGGTGATCTGCTTGCCTCAGCCTCCCCAAGTGCTGTGACTACAGGTGTGAGCCACCACGCCTGGCTGAATCTTCTTTTTGAGATGGAGTCTCGCTCTGTGGCCCAGGCTGGAGTACAGTGGCACGATCTTGGCTCACTGCAACCTCTGTCTCCTGGGTTGAAGTGATGCTCCTACCTCAGCTTTCCAAATAGCTAGGACTACAGGCACCCACCACCTCACCTGGCTAATTTTTTTTTTTTTTTTTTTTTGAGACAGAGTTTTGCTCTCATCACTCATGCTGGAGTGCAGTGGCTTAATCTCAACTCGCTGCAACCTCCACCTCCCGGGTTCAAGCGATTCTTCTGTCTCAGCATCCCAAGTAGCTGGGATGATAGGCGCCCATACCATACCTGGCAAATTTTTGTATCTTTAGTATAGATGGGGTTTCACCATGCTGGCCAGGCTGCTCTCAAACTCCTGACCTCAGGTGATCTACCCACCTTGGCCCCCCAAAGTGCTGGGATTATAGGTGTGAGCCACCAAGCCCAGCCTCCAGCGTTAATCTTCCAAGAATAATCTCCCTACAAGGATCTAGAAATAGAAATACCATTTGACTCAGCAATCCCATTACAGGGTACATACCCAAAGGATTATAAATCGTTCTGTTATAAAGTCACATGCACATATAGGTTCATTGCAGCACTGTTTACAATAGCAAAGACTTGAAACCAACCCAAATGACCATCAACGATAGACTGGATAAAGAAAATGTGGCACGTATTTTCTCTATGGATGGAATACTATGCAGCCGTAAAAAAGGATGAGTTCATGTCCTTTGCAGGGACATGGATGAATCTGGAAACTATCATTCTCAGCAAACTGACACAAGAACAGAAAACCAAACACCACATGTTCTCACACATAAGTGGGTGTTGAACAATGAGAACACATGCACACAGGGAGGGGAACATCACACCCTGGGGTCTGTTGGGGGGTGGGGGACTAGGGGAGGGATAGCAGGGGGTGGGGAGATTGAGGAGGGATAACATTGGGAGAAATACCTAACGTAGGTGACGGGGATGGAGGCGGCAAACCCCCACGGCATGTGTGTACCTGTGTAACAATCCTGTAAGATCTACACACATACCCCAGAACTTAAAGTAAAATAAAATAAATAAATAAAAATAACTACAATTTAAAAAAGAATGATCTCCTACATAACTATAGTACTATTATCAGACGTAGAAGAACTAATTATAATTCCATAAGATCATCTATACACAAATCATATTCCAATTTCTGAAATGATCCCAGGAGTGTCTTTCGTAGCTTTCATTGCTTGCAAGTGCTAGTTGCGTGTTCTTCTGTCACGCCTTTCAGCCTAGCCCTGCAACACCCAGCCCTTTGCGCTCCCCTCAATAACTTCAATTTTTTTTCTTTTGTTTTAGAGACAGGATCTTGCTCTGCCACCTGGGCTGGAGTACAGTGGTGTGATCACAGCTTACTGCACCTTGAATTCCCAGATTCAAGTAATCCTCTGACTTCAGCCTCCCGAATAGCTGGGACCACAGGCACATGCCACCGTGCCCTATCCATTTGTAAACCTTTTGTAGGGACAGGGTCTCACTATGTTGCACAGGCTGGTCTTGAACTCCTGGCCTCAAGTGATCCTCCTGCCTTGGCCTCCAAACTGTTGGGCAGGTATGTGCCACTGCACCTGGCTGACCTTGAATTTTTGATCAGTCTGGGACAGTCGTCTTGTGGGATGTTACACAAGTTGAAGTTGCCTAGATTTGGATAATTGGTCTCTTGATGCCTTTTTTTTTTTTTTTTTTTTTTTTGAGACGGAGTTTCGCTCTTGTTACCCAGGCTGGAGTGCAATGGCGCGATCTCGGCTCACCGCAACCTCCGCCTCCTGGGTTCAGGCAATTCTCCTGCCTCAGCCTCCTGAGTAGCTGGGATTACAGGCACGTGCCGCCATGCCCAGCTAATTTTTTGTATTTTTAGTAGAGACGGGGTTTCACCATGTTGACCAGGATGGTCTCGATCTCTCGACCTCGTGATCCACCCGTCTCGGCCTCCCAAAGTGCTGGGATTACAGGCTTGAGCCACCGCGCCCGGCCTTCTTGATGCCTTTTTAAACTTTTTCTCTATCCCCTTTACTTCCAGTGTCCTGGAAGGTATGTTTACCGCCTTGAATAGACTCAGATTAAACATTTTGGACAAGAAAGAGTTCATGGATGATAGGGTGTACTTTCTGCATCACGTCAGGAGGTACATTGAGTAAGGTTGTTCCACTATCTGTGAGGCTCATTTTGATTGCCTTACTAAAGTGGTGACTGCCAGATCTCTCTCTCGCAGAGGTACTTTCCTTTTTGCAATTCACAATGAATCTGTGCATAATTCTTTAGTGCCATGAAAACATTCTCTTTACCATAATCTTTCACCTGATGGTTTTAGTATCTGGTGATAATTCTTGACTGAATAAATTATTACATTTAGGATTGTAAATAGGTGATATTGCAAAAATGACTTTAATATTAGAGAATTCATAAGTCAAGACCCTGACGAGGACTAGGTGTCTCATCATGCTTTGTCTAAATACAGACAAATAATTTTTTTTTTACCGGAGATTGCAAGTAATGGCTTAAACTTCAATGTGTGGCAATTCTATCTCTCTGAGCCTCTTCTGGAAATGAAATTCCCGTATTATCTCAGCTTACTTACCCACCGTATCAGCAAAGCCTTGGTTGAATAGAAGCGTCAGTACAAGTGTAGTTATAAAACTGTTAGGAAGGCTGGCTGCAGTGGCTCACACCTGTAATCTCAGCACTTTGGGAGGCTGAGGTGGGCGGATCATGAGGTCAAGTGTTTGAGATCAATCTGATCAGCATGACAAAACCCCATGTCTACTAAAAATATAAGAATTAGCTGGGTGTGGTGGCGAGAGCCTGTAATCCCAGCTACTCAAGGAGATTGAGGAAAAAGAATCGCTTGAACCCGGGAGTCAATGGTTACAGTGAACTGAAATTGCACCACTGCACTCCAGCCTGGGGGACAGAGTGAGACTCTGTCTCAAAAAACAAAAACAAAGGCCGGGCGCGGTGGCTCAAGCCTGTAATCCCAGCACTTTGGGAGGCCGAGGCGGGTGGATCACGAGGTCAAGAGATCGAGACCATCCTGGTCAACATGGTGAAACCCCGTCTCTACTAAAAATACAAAAATTAGCTGGGCATGGTGGCGCGTGCCTGTAATCCCAGCTACTCAGGAGGCTGAGGCAGGAGAATTGCCTGAACCCAGGAGGCGGAGGTTGCGGTGAGCCGAGATCGCGCCATTGCACTCCAGCCTGGGCAACAAGAGCGAAACTCCGTCTCAAAAAAAAAAAAAAAAAAAAAAAAAAAAAAAAAAAAAAAAAAAAAAAAAAACACAAACAAAAACAAAAACAAAAACAGAAAACAAACAAACAAACAAACTAAAACTGTTAGGAAAAGCACAGACTGGATTTAAAAGCAACGGCTACATTCACTTGCTTAGACTACAATGTTTATGAAGGTTTCCATGGTTAAATAGTCCAAAGGAGAATTTGACAATTAATAAAATAGTCTATAAAGTGCTCATACACCACTTCTCTCTCCTTAGTGAAAAATCTGTAATTCATAATATGATGCATTTTATTGGAACTTCTAAAGGAGATGAGTCAGAACATGGTAAGAAAGTTAAAAGGTTTGGATGAAGCAAATTGTAACTCAATCCAAGAAACAGGTTTACTAGGGGTAGTTCTTCGGACATCTGATTACTCTGAATCCACACTAGTCCTTTCCCAAGTCGAATTAAATTGTGTTTAACAGGTCGGGCGCGGTGGCTCAAGCCTGTAATCCCAGCACTTTGGGAGGCCGAGGCGGGTGGATCATGAGGTCAAGAGATCGAGACCATCCTGGTCAACATGGTGAAACCCCGTCTCTACTAAAAATACAAAAAATTAGCTGGGCATGGTGGTGCGTGCCTGTAATCCCAGCTACTCAGGAGGCTGAGGCAGGAGAATTGCCTGAACCCAGGAGGCGGAGGTTGCGGTGAGCCGAGATCACGCCATTGCACTCCAGCCTGGGTAACAAGAGCGAAACTCCATCTCAAAAAAAAAAAAAAAAAAAAAAAAATTGTGTTTAACATTCCCCAAATATCCATATTCAGTCATTGACGTGAAAAACACTGGGAATCTAGAAGTGCCATGTGATCCTTTCGTAGCTCACAAGCAGACGGCTGAGTTTTCACGCTCATGGGTTGATGTGCCTCCCTCAAACCTTATCAAAATGTCAGCACATTACTTGTGTGATGTACATTTTTAAAAAGGAATAAAAAAAGAAAAAGTGTTCTATGAGAAAAGTAGGCTGGACGTGGTGGCTCACACTTGTAATCCCAGCACTTTGGGAAGCCGAGGCAGGTGGATCACCTGAGGTCAGGAGTTCAGGACCAGCCTGACCAACATAGTGAAACCCTATCTGTACTAAAAATACAAAAATTAGCTGGGTGTGGTGTCAGGTACCTGTAATCCCAACTACTTGGGAGGCTGAGACAGGAGAATTGCTTGAACCCGGGAGGTGGAGGTTGCAGTGAGCCTAGATTGTGTCATTGCACTCTACCTGGACAACAGAGTGAGACCTTGTCACAAAAAAAAAAAAAAAAAAAAAAAGAAAGAAAGAAAAGAAAAAAAAATAGCAAAGTAATAATAAAAGTTAGCAAAGACAAAAAGTTACATCTTTAGCATAAAAAATTAACTGGAAGTATACGCCCCAGATCTTATCAGTTTAAAATCCCATAACTAAATAACAACTCATTAACAGTCAACAGAATGAAATCATCTATGTTGCAAAATAGTGAGAGGATTTATTAATAGTGGGAAGAGGCAAACGTCACTTAGGCACAATTGTTTAAATGTAACTTGGGTTTAAACTTTAAATACACATTTGCCAATAATAACCTTAGGATTATTTTAATAGAAAAAGGAGGTACAGCTATTTAGAAATAAGGAATATTATTTGTTGATGAAGGAAAACACCAAAATTCCCTAGCAGGCAGAAGAGAAGTCATCAATTAAGTGGCTTAATTCCTATGATCAACCAGCATTCTTTTTATTTATTTATTTATTTTTTGAGACAGAGCTTCACTCTGTTGCCCAGGCTGGAGCGCAGTCACACGATCTTCTCTCATCGCAACCTCTGCTTCCCGGGTTCAAGTAATTCTCCTGCCTCAGCCTCCCGAGTAGCTGGGATTACAGGTACTCACCATCATGCCCCACTAATTTTTGTATTTTTGGTAGAGATGGCATTTCACCATCTTGACCAGGCTGGCCTTGAACTCCTGACCACAAGTGATACCCCACTTCAGCCTCCCAAAGTGCTAGAATTACAGACGTGAGCCACTGCGCCCAGACTCAACCAGCGCTCTTAATAGCCCACTGCAGCATTTCCCAACCTTTTTTGGCACCAGGGACTGGTTTTGTAGAAGACAATTTTTCTGCAGACCAGAGTTGCTGGCCATGGTTTCAGGAAGACAGAAGAGCATTACAGTTACTGTGCACTTATTTCTACTATTACTACATTGTAATATATAATGCAATAATGGTATGACTCAGCATAATATAGAATCCGTGGGAGTCCTGGGCTTGTTTTCCTGTAACTAGGCAGTCCCATCCGGGGCGATGGGAGACAGTGAGACCATCAGGCATTCGATTATCATAAGGAACACACACACAACCTAGATCCCTCACATATGGAGGTCCCAATAAGGCTCATGCTCCTGTAAGAGTCTAATGCTGCCGCTGATCCTACAGGAAGTAGAGCTCCAGTCCGTGGCGCAGCGGTTGGGAACCTCTGCCCTATTGGACTCGTCTACATATTTGTAGAAGAAATATAGTTATATAAGTTAGAAATAAGAAAATTAGATGTGTTGGCGCAGCTTCGTTTAAAGGAGAAGTAGGAAAGAAGGCTGGAAGGGTGAAATGGAGACCCAGTGGGGAGGTCTTGAGTTCTAGAGCCTGCACATTCTCCCCGCAGGTAGCAGGGAGTCAGTGAAGGTTGGGGAGCGAGGCGGCAAGGTGAAGAACACGTGGTTGAGAGATGACTGGGAGCGCTTCTCTGAGAAATAACATCTAGCATGAGCTGGACGCTGCAGGCCCAGGCGAGATACTTTCTCCCATCCTCAGAGCCAGTCTGCAAAGTGAATACTGTCCCTGTCTGAACAGGCTCAGAGAGAACGTGTCTCACTGAAGGCCACGCTACTGGTAAATTGTGGAACTAAGATTCAAAACAGGGCATTCTCCTCTCCACCCCAGGCAGTGGCCGTAACCAGAAATACAGAAACTCTGCCTGCTGGAGCAAGGGAGGATGCTGGCTTGGCGCACAGCTTTCTCCTGTATTTTCGGGGGCATCGGCACAACCAGGGGATCCTCTGGGCTTATGCGTCCCTCTCCCCTCCCCATCCCTTGCTGCTATGTGTATGACCTTGGAAAAGCCACCTTATCTTTCCTCTAAATGGCTAAAGACTTGGCAAAGGAATGAATTAACAGGGCACAGGAAGTGCACACCCTACATAGCATGGCAATTTCAGAGACGAGGTATTCGGTCGTCACCCTCAAATGTGTCATTTCAACATTTTTCTACTCTCACTTCCTTCTTACCTACTTAACACCATCACTGTTGCCAAAAGCAGGAATGGGGCAGGTGCACTCAAAGGGAAGAATTTGGAAGAGGAAATTTGTAGGGGTCATGTTGTTTCCTGAACTCGGAATAGAGCTTGATTCTGAATATATAAAGAATATCACTTGAGAGATTATGGAAGAAATGGAGCTGGGGTTAGTGATTGTTTCTGGATACAGTTGCAAAGTCACGTCCCCAGTGTTTCTCAGATCTTCACACGCATGTGAATCACGGCAGGATCTTCTCAGAATAAAGCTTCTAGTTCAGCAGGTCTGGGGCGGGGCCCAAGAGTCTGCATTTCTCACAAGCTCCCAGTTGCTGCAGGTCCCGAGTTCACACTTTGAGCTTCAAGGAGCCAGATTTCATTGTTTGTTTTTGTTTTTGTTTTTGTTTTTGATATGGAGTCGTAGTCTTGTCGCCCAGGCTGGAGTGGAGTGGCGCGATCTCTGCTCACTGCAACCTGCGCCTTCCAGGCTCAAGTGATTCTTCTGCCTCAGTTTCCCGAGTGGCTGGGACTACAGGCACCTGCTACCACACCCAGCTAATTTTGCATTTTTAGTAAAGACTGAGTTTTGCCATATTGGCCAGACTGGTCTCACATTCCTGACCTCAGGTGATCGGCCCACTTCGGCCTCCCAAAGTACCTGGATTACAGGCGTGAGACACTATCATACCTGCCTGAGCCAGACTTCTTTAAGGACAAATCTCTGTAAAATGGTGGCAGAGGGTCTTGCTTAGTGTGGAGGAAATGTGAAGGAGTAAATAAAAGGCACTTGTGTGAATGATACACTTCAGTATTAATTGTTTAACTCAATAAATACTTGGTGAGAGTTCCCCAAATGCCTGGCACATGTAATAGAGGAAAAAGAGACTCCAAGTTTCAGAGGGTAGGATGAAAAGAATCAAAATGTTCTGCAACTAAGCAACCGAGTAAACCAGGTGCAGAGAGGAGATGAGCTGGGGCTGATGCCTCAGCAGGAATCTCTGGAATTCCTCTTGCTTGGTGACGTCAGTCACAGAGCAGCAGAGCCTCAGCCCCTTGTGCTCGCTCCAGGTGGGTCTCAGCCAGGATGAAGGGAGCAGAGCAGACAAACACTCCACTCCCTTCTCCCCAAGGGAGCCAGCCTTTTGCATCCCCCGACAGCCTCCTGGGGTGAGTGGTCAACGCCTTGAGGTCCCCGCCCTGCACCACCCCAGGTTCCAGGGCCCAACTCTGGGAAATTGCGGCATTCTCTGAACCCTTCCTGCTGGTGGGACGAGGAGGAAGGCGGTTCCTGGCAATAGGGCGAGGGAGGAAAAGCGTCCTGGGGCTCAGGCTCCACTGCAGAGAGAGCAGGGTCCAGCTCCTGGAGGATCCAGATTGGACCGGACTCTGAGCTTAGGGGAAGCAGTGAAAGTTGCGCTAGTGTTACTTCACAAAATGGAATTTCTAACACCCAGCTCATCAAATTTCTTGAGAATGAATAAGATCATTGATCATTTACGTAAATTATCCGGAACAGTGATGGAACCCAGAGGCTTTGTTAGCTCCTATTCCGCCTGCCCTGAAGATAAGGACCAAAGCCCTTAGCATGGCTCACCGTGCCTCTCGGAGCTGGCCCCTGCCTCCCTGTCTAGCCTTATCTCTGGCTCCCATGTCCCCTGTCTCCAGCCACACTGACGAGCTGAGGCTGCCGTGGCCCCTTCGATGCCATGCTGCAGGACCTGGGCTCCACCTGTGCCTCCCTTTCCAGCAGTGGCCCTCAGCCCAGCCCACTTGGCAAATGCTACTTCCCTCTTTCAGCTCGGCACAGCAATGCCTGTCCCATGAAGCCTGTCCCATCCTAACCCTGTTCAGTAAAAGCGACTGGTCCCACCTTTGAGCTGTCCCGTACCAGGCGGTGCTTCCGCCCTATGTGTCTCCTATCTAGTGTAGTGCGGCAAACAACAGATCACAGACCAAATTCGAATCACCACCTAATTTTATAGATCTTTTTTTTTTTTTTTTTTTTTTTTTGAGAAGGAGTCTTGCTCTGTCGCCAGGCTGGAGTGCAGTGGCATGATCTTGGCTCACTACAGTCTCCGCCTCCCAGGTTCAAGCAATTCTCCTGCCCCAGCCTCCCAAGTAGCTGAGATTACAGGTCCCTGCCACCACACCTGGCTAATTTTTGTATTTTTAGTAGAGATAAGGTTTCACCATGTTGTCCAGGATGGTCTCAATTTCCTGACCTTGTGATCTGCCCACCTTGGCCTCCCAAAGTGCTGGGATTACAGGCATGAGCCACTGCGCCCGGCCAGCTTTTTCTTTTTCTTTTTGAGACGGAATCTGGCTCTGTTACCCAGGATGGAGTGCAGTGGCATAGTCTCGGCTCACTGCAACTCTGCCTCCCGGGTTCAAGTGATTCTCTTTCCTCAGCCTCCTGTATAGCTGGGATTACAGGCCCACACCGCCATACCTGGCTAATTTTTGTATTTTTAGTAGAGACGGGGTTTCACCATGTTGGCCAGGCTGGTCTCGAACTCCTGACCTCAAGTGATCCACCCACTTCAGCCTCCCAAAGGGCCGGCATGAGCCACCACGCCTGGCCTATAAGTAACATTTTATTAGAACACAGCCACACTCATTGCATAGGGTCCCTGGCTGTTTTCATGCTGCAAGGG